CTGTGGGAGTGGGGACCTTATGTGTCTGCTCACTCTGTGTCCCCAGTGCTGGGAAGAGGGGTTTTTGATGAGGGCATCTATGAATTTGGATGGGAAAACATATGACATATTTATTTCCATTACACTGTAACCGAATTTTAGTACTTCTTTTATTAACATAGACAATGAGTCACAGTAACACTAACAATACTTGGAACTTCAACACCAGTAGAAGTCACAGACATTTTCAAATCAAAATTGTGAGCATCTCAGAACGTGCTCCTAATGACTTTGGGATTCTGTTTATTAGACTCACCAATAGATGTTTGTTACTTAATGCATCAATGAAGAAATATGTATGTATATATTTAATTATTTCCTTACATAACTGCATATTACTATATTGCACATTGTTTTAAAAGTACTTTAATAACTGTATTTTAACTTAATTGGTTTCCTGTATAAATTTTATTTTATGCATTTAAAAACGTTTTTGTGAGAAGGGCCTCAAAGGGTCCAAGGCATAAACAGCTAAGGACTGATTGCTGGTTAGAACCGTGCCCATCAAAGGAATGAATGGTGGTCTCTTCCCCCTTTCCAGAAAGCCTTCTGTGTCTTCAGGGTCAGGTTTTTGGTGGATTGGCACGGACTTGTTTGGGAACCCTGCATAGCCAAGGTTTTTGGGAAACCTACTCTGCCCACCCGGCACTGAAAGTGGCATAGAGGGCCAGGCCCACTGCTTTCTCTGGGTATCTGCTTCTTCCCCACTCCCCACCCCAACTCTGACAAGACTGTCAGAGGCACAGCACCTCAACTTGACTGCCCAGCACAGTCTGGTGCCTCAGGGCATCTCCTGAGTTCCCAGAAGAATAGGTTGACCACTCTGGTCCAGTCAGTTTGGCACAGGAAGATGGCACAGTCCCCCTTCTTCAGGGTCCTCCCCTGAGGTAGGGAAGTGGTTCTCTGGATGAGGTCTGGCCAGCAGAGCCCTGATGGAAGTCTGCATCCTAATAGAGGAACCTTGGAAGGACCAAAGTTGGATGGGTGGGGCTTCCCTGGGCCTGGCTGGATGTTCTGTTCTGCTTGGTCCTCTTATTTCTTTGCTTGTCTGAGAGCTGCTGCCCATAAATTAGGCTGTTTCTATCAGTGGCCAGACATTCAGGAGTCAGATTGGAAACAAGCGGTTCGTCTTTTTTTCCAGCTTAATGTATAATAGTATCATACTGCAACTGCCATACTTCGTCTGTAGGTGGACTGGAGCCATTGTGGGGAGGTGTGGGCCAATCCTCTTGGGTAGGGGAGCCCTGTACTTAGACCTCTGCACGTGGCTCCCTGGATTGCATGAGCCTGGAGCCCACTGCTGGGGATCCCTGTCCCAGCAATGGAAGCCCTCAGTTTTACAGAGCATGACACTGTTCTTCTCGATATGTTTAAAGCTGAGTTTTTGTTTGCTTGTTTTAGAAAAAGAGACTAGGAATAAATGAATGGAAACTTGTAGAAAAGAAAAAAAGGAACTTGTAGGATGAGGGTAACACTACTTAAAATAACCTTGACTGGGTGCTCCACTGGGCCTGGCCTGGGTAGAGTGTTCTTCCTGTGCTTCCTTGTCAGCCCCCACCTGCGGTCTTGGGAGCGGTGTCAGGGAGGAGGGAGAGCCCAGGCTCTAACACTGACTGAGTAGGGTTTGAGAGCCTTGGTCCTGCCACTAAGTAGCAGTAGGTCACATTACCTCTCCATACTTCACTTTCCCAGGAATCAAGTAGTCTGTATCTCCTGGGGCCATTGTGGAGATTGAATGAGCTAAAACCGCTGCTTACCAGTGCCTCACCCATCAGAAGTGCTCACTATTAGTGCTGTCACTGTATGTGGAGAGGGGGCCCCTACATGTGCCACCATATGGTGCTGAAGAAGTGGGTAGGGCTGGTGGTATCCTTCAGACAGGAAGCAGACAGTCATCAATGGCCATTCAAAGCCACCATTCCTGTGTAGATGGTGGTGCTGCACAAGACAGGGAGAGTGAGGACTCTGGTTTGGGTTAGCTGGGCTCCAGGTTTGGCTCTCCTTGGGGAGACCCACACCCAGTGTCAGGCACTCCTGAATAGGAGCCTTGAGCTGAGCAGTTGGGAACAACTCGAAGAGGGTCACCCAGGGCCTCCCTTTACCCTCCCTGGTGACTGACACAGCAATCCTGTCTGAACTGAGATGAACAGGTCTCTCTTCAAGCTGTTCCCTTCTGGCTTAGGACGGATTGGCTGGCTTGGTCATAAGCCCAGCCTTTTCCTCTTGCTTAGACTATTTTGAGGCATCCCGGGGAGTGTGACCCAGCCTTGTGTTAACTCTAAGCACATGAGCTGGGTTTACTTTGCATCTCAGTTTTTGGATTCCCTGTTTTGAAGTCTCTGAGCTTGTCTCAGGAGTTTCTGTTAGAGAGTCCAGTCCACTGAGTCAGGAGGCCTTTCCTCAGCTCTCCTCCCTATCCTATCCCTTCTGCATGGGAAATTCCTCAAAGCTTAATTAATATTAGGACTAATTGATACTTATCTTTGTTCTTATATATTAATACAATGCGGTTTTAGTACTTTAATATTTATTTGTTATTTCACAGGGAATGTTAAATGTGCAAGTTGAGTCATTGCCATGAAACAGCTGAGAGTTCTTGGTTTATTATGCTGCAGTTTAAATGTCACACAATCCAGACTTCTGGAGCTGCGTACCTGTCACCACCATCCAATTTTAGAACATTTCCATCACCTAAAAATGCCTTTGTGTCCATGTACAGTCTGTATCCCCTGTGTGCATTTTTGCCTCTGAGAATTTGCCTTTTCTGGACATTTCCTAAAATGGAATTGTACAGTACATTCCTCTGCATCTGACTTCTTTCACGAAGCATAATGTTTTTGAGGTCTGATCATGTTGTGGCTTGCATCAGTATTTCATTTCTTTTTATAGCTGGGTAGTACTCTACTGTAGTACCTGATGGACATTGGATAGTCTCCAACTTCTGGCTATTATAAATGATTCTGCTGTAGACATTCTATATGTGCCTTTGTGTGGACATATGTTTTCATCCTTTTTAGGTAGATACCTCAGAATAGAACTGCTGGTTGTTTTGTTTAGCTTTTAAAGAAACTACCAATTTTTTTTCCAAAGTGGTCGTACCATTTTTCCTTCCCAACTATAGTGCAAGAGGGTTCCATTTTTACACGTCCTCACCAACACATGGTACAATCTGATTTTTTGCTTTTTTTCTTCTTTTCTCCCTCCCTCCCTCCCTCTCTCCTTCCTTCTTTCCTTTCCTCTTTCCTTCTTTTCTTTTTTTCGTGGTGCTGGGAAAGGAGCCCAGGGCCTTGCATATGCTAGGCATGTGCTGTACCACGGAGCCTCCAGCCTTTGTATTTGTTTTGTTGTTTTAATTCTAGCCATCCTAGTGGGTATAAAGTGGTATGTTTTTGTGGTTTGTATTTGTACTTCCTTATTAGCCATTCATATATTTTCTTTTGTGAGATGTGTATTTGAGTCTTTTTTGTGGCTGATTTCTAAACTTGGGCCAGCCATGGATTCATGGTCCTTGGTGACAGGGAACACAGCTTCTTTCCTAGGACGAAAATGATTAAGAAATGTGCACTCTCAGCCTCTTCTTCCTCCTTACTCATGAAAGAGGATTTTGGCCTCTGTAGTTCAGCTTTTCTTCTTTGCCTGACCAGTATTTTTTCTTCTTTTTTTAATTATGAAACTTATCAGGCATTCAGAATAGTCACAAGAGAAGTGCATGGAAGAGCCTGATAGTCTTGGCATCGCTTTGGCTGCTGAACTCTGAGTCTCTGACACTTGCAACTATGTGGTGGGGCTGAGGGGCCTGAGGGAAATGGTCAAGTCAAGGGTAGCTGGCACTTTCTGTCTTTCCCAATGACCTCTGGGCTAGGTCTTGCCCTCCAGGACTACAGATTCAGCATGTCCCAAGTCAAGTTCATCCTCTGTCCCTACAAATCTACTCCTTCCCCAGTGAAGGATACAACATCTTTCTGGCTCCACAGCCACCTCATCCTCATCCAGTTCTTCTTGCTTTCCCTACAGCAGTGTCTGTGGAATCTCTCAAGTCTGTCTCCTCTAATTTTACTACTGCCACCTTAGCTCAGAGGACCTCCGAATTGTAATTGGCTTCCAACTTATGCCCTTTTCCCCATCCTCCTTTCTCTCCTGACCACTTTCCTGCTAAAAAGTTTTAGGTGGTGTTCTCTGAGTTCTGTGACATGACATGTTCTCTGCAGGTGGGTGCATGTGGTGTGGGAGAACTCTTTCTGCATTGGGCGGTCCAGGCATGGAAACCAGAAGTACCTAGGAGTGGGTCTTGAATGATAATGCAGTGATGGGACAGCATGAGCAAAGGCACTAGAACTTGACTGGCTTACCTGTCTGTGCCTCAGTTTCCCCATGTGGAAATGGGTGTAATAGCAGGACTTGCCTCAAGATGGTGAGGTTCAGATGAATTAGAGGATGTCAAGTGCATGGTTAGTACTATGTGGGATCAGCTGTCATTCAGATTATTCACGATGGCCAGTGAGATGCCCACGGGAGCATGGGTGGCTTGTCTTCTTCACCCCACCTTTGCTTTCACACAGACCACATACCCTTGTGCCAGTGAGGACTCAGGCCTGTCCCAAAATGGTTGTACAGGCCAGGTGGGACTGAAAGCAATACAAGGGGCAGCCACCACTCAGCTCTGTTGATAGTGACCAGGCAGGGATATGGACCTAGTGTTGCCAGACAAGTCAGAGATACAGAGTTCTGTGTGAAATCTACCATTTTTTAGATGTTGGTAATTAATTTAAGAAATACTAAACTCTGTACAAGCCCTATACACTACATCTATGGATCTTATTTAGTTCGAAGACCACCAGCTTATGACCTTTCTTTTAAGGTGTCCTCCTGGATGATCTACTTGCGTGAGTCCAGCATAGCTATTTCTCGGTGGGGTCAGTTGGTTTTGAAGCCTGGTTTTGATGAGCCCCTTTGCCTTGCAGGACTTCTCAGGCAGGTTATGTCACTGGTAGAGGCTGCCCTGAAGCTCCCTGTGGTCTGGAGACTATGTACAAGAGGAATGGTCTGATGGCTAGCGTGTTGGTCACCTCCGCCACTCCACAGGTATTGAGGCCGAGGGGACTGGGACACTGGGTGGGAGGGGCTTCAGAGGAGCCATGGCAGTGAGACTGAGGGCCATGCATACCACCGTTCTTAGCATGCCCAAGGCCTCGTTCACACCAGGCGTGAGATTTGGGAGGCGGTCAGCTCTGTGGAGCAGTGTGTTTTCTGAAGTCGTTCTCTTCAAAGAGAAACAAATGCCTGTCCAGTCCAGCCATGGCAAGTGCCACATTCCATTTTGGTGGCAAGATGGAATCAGACCTTTCCTAGGAAAAGCTACTGCTGACTATAAACAAGCCACACAATCTGGAATGGAGTCAGACAGAAGTCATTCCAACTGGCTGTGTAGGAAATGGCTGTGAGGACTAGTGGTCTTAGTGGCCTGGGCCAGGGCCCCTAAGTGGGGCTTGGGGATTTGCTTTCCAAGCTCAGTAATGGAACTGAAATGCAGGAGGATGGGTGTCATCTGAGGCTCGGCGCATCTGTGTCTAGGGTGTAACGCTAGTGCCTGTGACACACTGGCTGGGCAATGTTGCAGTCCAGTGCATATCAAGCTGGGCTCTTGACATGGTCTTGGATACCCAAGCCAGGAGATCACTGTGACTGGTCGTAAAATCAAACTTGTATTTTTAAAAAATTCCCCAGAGGGGCCAGCATAAAGTTGTATTGTCACGATCACCACCACCATCAGCAGCAACAGTGAATAGGTTTGAGGCAACTTTTGATTCAACAAGTCCTCATGTGTGACTGTGTGTGTTTGCAGCAGAGACAATGGGAATTACAGGGAAACCTGAAATCCCAGTAACAGACTTTGCTAGTTAGAGGAATCAGACTTCTGTTTCTATCTATGATTTTCAGACCACCTAGAGAAAAACTTCTCTGGTCTGTGTGTGTATATGTATTCATACATGTGAATGTGTATATGTATGCATATACACATACATGTGTGTAGTCACATATACACTATATATACATTCAGCCCTCTGTATCCACAGAATCCACCAAGCATGATAGAAAATATTTGGAAAAAATTGCATATATATTGAACATTACAAATGTTTTCTTGTCATTGCCTAAACAATAACGGTTTTACATAGCATTCATGTAAAGTGTTAGGTATTCTAAGTTACCTAGAGATGATTCCAAGTATATGAAAGGACACGTATAGGAAATGTGCAAGTACTAGGCCATTGTATACACGGGGCTTGAGCATCTGGAGGTTTGGTGTCCTCACAGAGCTCTGGAACCAATCCTGCATGGATACTGAGGGGCAGCTGTGTGTACACATATGTGTATCCAGAACATGGTAAGTACATGATGAATGAATGGATGCATACTCATATAATTGAAGTTCTCAGTAAATGTTGGTGACTGAATGGCACATTTACGCTCATACACATGCTTAATTTAGAGCTCACTATAATACAGGCACTTTTTTGCATGTTTCCCAGTCTTTCTCTCATTTTGCACACACACACTAACCCCCTCAGGTTTGTACCACAGTTTCAGCCCAGTTTATAGATGAGGAACCTAAGGTACAGAGATGTGAAGACACTATCTTTGGATGCCACAGCTGGCCAGTTGGGTGGGTTCAAGCCAGGCCTCTCTGATTCTCCAGCTCATGCCTCAAACCATGACGCCATACCATCCTGGAGATCAGTCCTGCCAGCCTGACTCAGATGCTTCCTGGAAGCGGGTAGAGGGTGCAGAGTGACTTCTAGATCTTTGTCTGTACATAGGACTGGGAGATGGAATTGTTTACCAATCTCAGATGCATTAGTACTTTATAGTTTTATTGTGACCCAGATTCTCCTCAGGGAGGATGTCCTTTCTTTGGTGGAACTTTAGAAATAGCCATGCTAAGCCCTCTCCAGACCCCTTTAGCCAGCTTCTCCCTGGGAGGAGGGTTCTGCCAAGTCCTTCTCAACTTCATTTAAGTAACCTGTGCTGCAACCCTGGGACATGGAGTTAATATTGCCATTTTACAGATGATATGTGAGACTCAGAAAAATGAAATCACTTGCCTGAGGTTTGCCAGCAACCAGTGTGAAACTGGCCTTTCATCTAGGCCCATCCGACTCCAGAGCTCTTAACTGCTGTGGTTTGCTGCTTATTTAGCTTAGGGCTGGGTGCCATGTTGTGCACCTGTAATTCCAGCTCCTACAGAGGCAGAGATAGGGAGGATCCCAGTTTGAGGTCAGCCTGGGTGAAAAGTTAGCAAGACACCATCTCAACAAATAAACTGGGAATGGTAGTGTGTACTGGTCATCTCAGTGTGTGGGAGGCATAGGTAGGAGGATTGCAGCAGTCTGAGTCTGGCCCCAATTGAAAACACAAGATCCTATGTGATAACTAAAGATAAAAGGGCTTGGAGGCATGACTCAAGTGGTAGAGCACCTGCTTAGCAAGTATAAGTCCCTGAGTTCAAGCCTTCAGTACTGTTTCAAAAAAAAGACCATCTGGGAGTTGAGGTATAGCAGACTCCTTTGTGGAACCTCTCTATGACACAGGCCTGCTAAAGCCAGCAGGTTATCTTCCTGATCCTCTCCTTAACCTCACATTGCCAGTTGTTACTATTGGTTTCCCTCCCTGACCTAAAAACATTCTAGTTTCCAGTAGAATTGCAGCATTTTTCCAGATCTAGCCATTTTGGAAAGAGTGAAGTAAAGAGGAATTAATAAAAGCATATCCCTAACCCACACTGCATGATGTTGAGGCTAACGGAAACCACAAACTCCTACTTTATGAGTTGAAACGAATAAAGCCATTTATCAACAGGACACAGTTTTGGGTGGTAAGCCTAATGGATTCCCAAAAGTGGAGTTTGATGAAATTAAGTAAAATTAAAGAAAAGGTGTGCCCAGCATTCTGGGATCCCCACAGCCTTGGGCTTTTGTGAAATAAACCACACTTGGGGAGTTTCAGGTTGCTTCTTCGTGGGATTTCCTTTCTTCACAGGCAGGATGCAGAGTCCTTCTCAAGAGGGTCTCCATCAAATATGACTTTCGCCACAGTCTCCAAAGCTGAGCAGTTACTTCTCAGGCCTTCTGAGACAAGTAGGGCAGAACATTATATCCAAGAGAAAAATTAAGCTAGGGCTTTGTTCTTTTTCCTTTTTTGGGCACTGGGGATGGAATCCAGAGCCTTGTGCAATGTAGGCAAGTGGCCACTACTGAGCCCCGCTCCAGCCCTGTGCTATAGCTGTCTATCTACCACCATGCTGCTGGCCAGAAGCAGTCAAGAGGTAGCAATTAAAGGTTTGTGTTTTGGAGTCAGATGGGAAACTAGGGTCACATTCTGGCTTTCACTTTCACAACTGAGATAGTAACAACTGAGAAGTAGGACTGCTTCTCCTTCCTTATGAGTACAATGGGAATGATGATGGTGTGTGCACATGAGTACTCATGAGATTAAGTGAGAACATGCATATAAAGTGCCTGACAGGTGTGTGCAATAGACAAAGCACTGAATACCAGATGATTTTTCATTGTATGATTTTGTCACTCTTGCACTCTGTTCTGAGGTTTGGGAGCAGTGATTCCTTGCGGACGATACATCTGTCTTCCTTCTCACAGGGCAGCAGCAGCTCAGACTCGCTGGAGGGCCAGAGCTGCGACTATGCCAGCAAGAGCTATGATGCTGTCGTCTTTGACGTCTTGAGAGTGACTCCCGAGGAGTTTGCCGTGAGTGACACAGATGTGCTAGGGGGCGTGACGGTGCCAGATGGAGGAACTGCTCCGGGTTTTCTGTCCAGCTTGCAAACACCCTATGTGCTCAACAGTAGGGAGTGCTAGATAAAGGGTGGTCCTTTCCATGCCATGTAGAGTGAACAGGATGCTGTTGATGTCGAATTAGCCATGTTGGAAGGCGTGTGCAGTGCACAAGAGCAGTGAGTGAAAGGATCACTTTTCTATCACAGTTATGGAGAGTGATGCCAGGGTTAGAGCACACACACAACACACACACATCTGCATATGGTCGAGACTTGATGCTCATATGTTCCATAAGCCAAACGTTACCTGCTGTGGATTTTGGTTATAGATTCCAGGTAAGCCAAACGTTATCTGCTGTGGATTTTGGTTATAGATTCCAGGTATTTGTAATTTAATTTTTCTTTTTTGTTTAATTGCGCCTTCTATATTCTTACAATAACCATTTTATAATGGTCATATTTTATAGTAACCATTACAATGATAGATGACATTATTTGGACAATTATTTTAAATTATAAATGTAAAAGATAGTTTTGTCTTCAGCCAGTGTGTTGCTGCTGGTCTGAACGAGGATGATCTCTCAGGTGGGGCAGAGTTGGCTCCTCATTTTGTCCTGACTTGGTTTCTTCCTTTGGGCTTGTGGATAGAGGGAGTCTATTGGCTCTGGGTGACTGTCTGTCCAAGGGCAAATTTCTCTCCAGAACTGCGGACATGTTTCCCACCATGCCTGCTTCTTCCCTGACCACCATGGTATGGAGGCTTCATGCCCACAAGAGTACCACCACTGGCTGCTGTGCTATCATGAGCTCCCCAGTTCACTTTGTGCCAGGCTGTGCTGGGCATTCAGTGTGTCTGAGGAGTCCTTTTACAACCTGCTAAAAACTCTGTAGTACCTCCTCACTCTACTAGAGTGAGACTTAGAGCTCCCCCGGAGGCCCAAAGTCACCACCCAGGTCTGACCATACCTGCTCTTGCCCCTTCTTCTAGCTCTTCACCTGTGCAATGGCTACATTTCTCCCTCAGACTATCCAGCATCCTCCTGCCTCACTGTTCCTTCAGTCCAGTTGTTGCTCAGTCTACTTTCACATGTCAGTGTCAGGGAGGACCAGCCCTGACTGACATAGCAAACGTCTCTCTCCCCTTCCCCTTCTCTGCTTTTCATTAGGACTCCTGTTACTACCTAATATCCTGTTATAGAACACTAAGTTGGTTGCAGATCTCTTCTGCTGGGACAGGAACTAACTTCTCTATTGCTTTTTCTTCAGTGCTTAAAATACACCTGGCTCATAGCAGATGTTGACTGAAGGGATTCAATTCTCCCAACAACTTGATGAGGCATGTTGTTAGCTGCCAGGCTTCTTTTTTCTTGTTACAGTAGGGGTTGAACTCAGGGCCTTGAACACACTAGGCAAGTACTCTGTCCTAGCTGCCAGTTTTCCGACAGAGAAACTAAGGGTCCGTTTTCTTACATGGATCATACAACTGGGTGTTGACAGTGCCAGGTCTGAAACCCTCACCGACTAATGACCCACCAAATGCTAGATGGCAATAAGCACAGCTCCCATTTGTGGACATCTACTATCTCTAGTTCTTGTGCTGGATATTTTATATGCTCTAGCTATCTAATTTCCTTTTTCAGACAACCTTAGAAATCATATACCTAATTATAAAGTAGGTGTAACTGTGATTCCCAGTTTACTGATGAGTAAATCAACACTTAGGAAAGTTACCTCTTCTGTGGACAATCAGTGCTATAGCTTGGGTTTAACCCTGGAGCTGTCCGACACTCTAGGCCAGCACTATCCAATAGAAGTATAATCCAAGCCACATATCCAGTTTCAAACTTCCTAGTAACTATATTAAACAAAATAAAAGAGATGAAGTTATTTTAAAAGTGTGTGTGTTTTAGAACTCTCAAAAAACAACTGCCATGTTTTTGAGCACTATGTGATACCAGCCTAAAAGAAAGGTACAGGAAAACTGATTTTATGTAAAATAATTAAAAGGAAATTATTGATATCAAATCTCAAAGTTATTATAAGAAAAAAATAGGAGAGAACTCTATAGATAACAAGAGCACGCCAGAGAGGCCACTACAAACGGATAAAAACTGTAATTATGTCTTTTAAAATGACCTAGGGCATCTTAAAATTGTGCCCAAGACAGGAACAACATAAATTGGAAATAGGAAAGTCTCAGAAATGAGGTGACAGAACTTAGGAAAGAATTGAAAATAAAATTCTTTTGGGAATGAAGATTGAACTAGAACAAAAGATGAACAAACAACATAAAAATCCCTTTTAAAGGAATTTTTTTTTCTGATCAAAATAAATGAAAAATAGACTGTAAGACTGAGAAAAAGTGACAGATATTAATGTTGAGCAAAGAAGATCCAATATAGAAATGGTAGGAATCCCTGAAAGGGGGACCTGAACATTTAAGAAAATGTTCACAAAACGGAAGATTCAAGAGTGTGTATTGAACCTCATGATGAAGCTGAGACTGCCACCTGAGTGGCCAGTGCTGAAGATGTGTTCTTGGTAAACTGGATTATAAAGGAAAAGAAAACAAATGCTTTGTGGATCTTGACAGGAGAGGGAAAGAAAACACATCAATATTTTTGAATAACACTATTTGCCAGAGGAAAATGGAACAAAATCATGTAAGTTAAGGAAAAAAATATAACCCAAAGATTTTTTTTGAGACAGGGTTCCACCATGTAAGGCCAGGCTGGCCTTATTTGCTGTGTAGCCCTGGCTGGCCTGGAACTTGTAATCCTCCTGCCTCAGTCTCCCAAATGCTGGGATTTACAGGTGTTTGCCAGCACATTTGGCTTAAGCCAAAGATTTTATATCCAGAAAAACCGACTATAGACTATCAGGGACACAGATACCCTGCTTTTCCTGAGAAATCTGCTAGCAAACAGGCTCAAACAATGGGAATGGCTAGAAACATGAGAGAGCCTGGTGGAGAGCTGTGAACAGACATGTACTTGTAGAATGAGGATCAAACATGGAGGGCATAGTGTATCACAGTATGTAGTGACTTGTGCCCCGTTAGTGACAGAGTGTGACCCTCATAGTACCAACTGTTTAAAGAATGGGGGGGAGGATGGAGAGAACATATGCAAAATTTCATAACTCTTCTTGGGAACTATATTAGCGGACACGGTTCCTGGGATCTTCCTGTGGGACCTGCATTGCCAAGTGTGAGCTTCTTGTGAACTCAGTGAATGTCCATCTCAGGATGGATCTTTCTGGCTGATTACCTTTTGTTCTGTGAGCCTTCCCAGTCCTGCAGGTGTGCAATGATTTAAATGCTGATTTTTTTTTTTTTTGCCTATTTATTTGGGGTCTTGGGAGATCCTTATGCTATGAGGAGAGATTTAGTCCACCACTGTTAGAAGGAGAAATACTACAGTCAACATACACAAAAAACATTTTTTTCTTTTTGGCTAACAACTAGCTTTCACTTAGCTACATAATACCACATTTTTCTTTAGTGGCTACACTATGAAGTGCTCTAATAGTTTCCTTCAGTCTGTAGGATTTTTCTCTACAAAAACATTTTGTGATATGTAGTGACTGGCCATTTCCTTTAAAAACCTGAGTTCTAGGCGTCCTAGCCTAGGAGAAGGGGCTAGGACTAAGGAAGTCATTGTCAGCTTATCAGCTTGTCTGGGCATCCTGTGTTCAGGCTTTATTTCCCCAAATAAGGAGAAGGCATTGAGAGATTTGCTCTTGAGTGTTTCTGTTCAGACCCACTACTGGGGGAACTTACTTTTTGGGAACAAGTATGGGGAGAGACCTGGCCTTCTTGCTCAGGCTCTCTCTGACTGCTCTCCCTTTAGACTGACTGCCTTGGGCCACTCATACCTGCATTGCTTGGCAGCATCCTCTTAAGATTGGCTACACAGTAAAATGGCATTATGCTTATAATCTGGTGAGTTTTACCAGAGTATTTTGTGTTAAAATAGCATCACCTTTCATCCATTTTGGTCAGAGTTGAGAGGACAGAAATGGGACAGTCTCTTGTAAACCCTCACTGTGTGTCTGTGACCTGCTGGTCTGTTTTCAGTCTGGTGACCACTGCTACTGTGGGTTTTGAATAGAATACCTAAACATACTTTCTGACTTTGGATCTTATTATGAGCAGAGATCATAATATTTCAAACTTGGATCATCTGAAAAAAAATGCAAAATGTAAGGTCACCTTTTTAATGACTCACTTGGGAATTCAGTGGCAAATCCTAGGACCGATGGCAGGATGGAGAGGAAGTTTCTGCATTTTCACATTAGCAGACTTTTGGTTCTTTTCCTAAATGACATTGCAAAAATCCTGACGGTTCTCCTGGATAGGGAGTTAACTTGAACTGCAAGAGAGATTTCCATGGCCCTCTGAGTTTTTAGCTCAAATCCTGTTTTCACAAGGCCTTTCTGTTCCCCAGTGTAGCAGAATTAATCCAGTACGAGGAGCACTTGGCTAACAGACCTGATGTGTCTGGCAGAAGAAATGGAAGTCTTTTTGTGCTGCCCAGGACATAGTTCTGGGCTTTGTAGGCCTTCAGGCTTTACAAGCCACTCCACACCCACACTAGGACTCAGGTTCTGCTGATGTCAGGTGGAGGGGGGACCTGGAGGTAGAAGAGCTCAGGTTCCTTTCGAGCACCTTTCTCTTGTTGCCACCTGTCAAGGTTCCATTAGTGGCAGCATTTTACCCCTGTGACCATGAGGAGCACTATCTCCTGGGAGTAGACAAATAGGCTCTCCACTGAAGTCCCTGCTCTTTCCTGCTCCTGTTCAGCTCTGAGGATAGGATGTTTTGGTTGTATCCCATGCTTCTCACCAGTGCTTCAATTTGCTACCTTTGAATTGTGCCAAGATCTGGCTATAGTTGTGCACCTAAGCCCTGGAATGTGGTCACAGGTGACACACTGTGTTATTGCCATTTTTGTCCATTGTATTTTTTGCTAGGTCAATGTAACAGCCTCCTTTCAGTTTTCTGTCGGGCAGCTTTGGTGCGTGGATGTTTAGCCAAGCCAGTCCTTTATTTCCTAGCTTCTGTACTAGTTAAAAGTCATAAATTTACATGTAATACTTGGGCTCACCTCTGTGACTACCATTTCGCTAATCTTTCTTTTTTTCCTCATGTATTCATTGAGCATCTGTTAGGTGCCAGGTATTCAATACCTTTTACTTTGAATTTTCACTCAGATCCTATAAGATAAGGGTTATTGACACCATTTTATAGGTGTGGTGCTTGATACTGGAAGAAGGTAAGTCACCATGTCAGAGGATATTGCTATTAAGTGACAATGTCTAGATACACACCCAAGCCCTGTAGATCACAGATCCCAAGTTGGTCCAATGGACAGGTTCAGTGGACAAGTGTCTTCTTGTACCAGTAGGTATCCACAGGCCCTTGGCTTTCTGCAGAGGCCTCTATTGACTGACTTCTGACATCCCATATGATGCATCAGGGTTGGTAGGTCATGTGAAGTCAGCTCAGTCTATGACTTGGTCTGAAAGATGTCAGCAGCAGTACCTTCCTTTACTGCCCCCAGATGAGCATCTAACTTCAGTCCCAGTTTTTTAACCTGACGCATTAGTGCCCTTAGCTGACTGTGGCGAAGGACCAAGTCTTTCATTTTCTGTCTTTTGAGGCCTGACCTGATAGTTAAAAAAATGCAATAGAAATGTTGTGGCCATGTCAAATTGCCACACAAGTTCCCCAAAGCTTGCTCTCAGCTTCTGTACTGATCTCATTGTGGGCTGGTAGAATAAACAGTTTGTGGCCTCATACTGATCTCTGGATGCCTCTTGGATGGCATTCTACCATATAATTGAGGGGTGGCTTAAACTTCAGAAGAGAAGTATAATTTCTATGTGCCACAATTTTAAAGTAAGTTTAAGTTTGGAGTTTCCATTCATGATTCTAATTTTTAATATTTAATACAGTTTTTTTAAAATTAGGAAAGTAATGCTTAAAACAAAAATCCCAGTAACACAGAAATTTCCAAACTAAAGTTGCTCCCCTTGCTCCTAGCCCCACTCTCCAAATAACTATTAACAATTCTTAAGCTGAAAGTTCATCTCACATTCAGAAAGAAGGGTGTGGATGGAAATTTATAAGGAGGGAAAGGGTTGGGCGAGGCATTTCAGAAATTTACCCTATCTCTCACCAGTTACAAAAATCAATTTAAATGTATTAAAGACTTAATGTAAGACCTGAAATTATGAAACTACTAGAAGAAAACACAGGGGAAATGCTTCAGGACATTGGAATGGGCAAGGAGTTTTTGGATATGACACCAAAAGCACAGAATTGAAAGCAGTAATAGACAGATGGGGTTACATCGAGCTAAAAGCCCTGCACAGCAAAGGAAATAATCAGTGAAGGGACAGCCTATAGACTGGGAGAATATATTTACAAACTATATATCTGACAAGGGGTTAGTATCCAGAGTACATAAGGAATTCCAAAAACCTCAATAGCAAAAACAAAAAATAATAACCTGATTAATAAATGGGCAGCAGACCTAATTAGACATTTCTCAAAAGAAGACAAACAAATGACCAACAGATATGTGGGAAAAAAAGCTCAACATTAGTAATCATCAGGCACATGGAAATCAAAACCAGATTGAGATATAACCTTATTCCAAGAAGAATGGCTGTTATCAAAAAGGTAAAAGATAGCAAGTGCTGGCAAGGATGTAGAGAAAAGGAAGTCTTTGTACAGTGTTGGTAGAAAAGTAAATTGGTGTAGCTATTATGGGAAACAGTATGGAGATTCCTCAAAAAATTAAAAATACAGGGCTGGGAACATAACTCAGGTGGTAGAGTATCTGCCCAACAAACATGAGGTCCTGAGTTCAAACCCCAGTACCACAAAAAAAAAATTAAAAATAGAACTACCATATGATCCAGCAATTTCACTACTGGGTGCATATCCAAAGGAAATCAGTATGTCAAAGAGACAGCTGTATTGCCTTGTTTACTGTAGCACAATTAACATTAACCAAGAAATTGAATCAACCCAAGTGTCCATCAACTGATGAATAGTTCAGGAAAATGTACTACACACACACACAAGGGAATAATATACATCCACAAAAAGATTAAAATCCTGTCATTTGTGATATGGATGTGGATGGAACTGGAGAAAATTATGTTAAGTGAAATAAGCCAGGCACAGAAAAGCAAATACTGTATGATCTCACTCGTGTGGAGTCTAAGGAAGTTGATCTCACAGAAGTTGAGAGTAGAATGGTGGTCTCCAGAGGCTGGGAGAGAGGGAGGAAGGGGTGGAGAAAGGCCAATCAGTGGGTACCAAATTGCAGTTAGCAGAAAGAAGTTCTAGTGTGCTATTGTACTTTAAGATGACCATAGATAACAATTAGGTACTGTATATCTCAAAAAGCTAGAAGAAAAGATTTCGAATGTTTTTACCATAAAGAAATGATAAATGTTTGAGAAGATAGCTATGTTTAATCTGATTTAGACATGACACAATGCATACATGTATCGAACCATCACTTAGTACCCCATAAATACATGATATTTTTGATTTATGTTAGTTTAAATTATTTAAATTAAAAAAGAAACCCATTTTATTCTGTCTTCTTTTTATTTCACAGGGAAAGTGTAACTTTCAGGAATGTGTACTGTCTGGTAAGGTCTAAAGTAATGTGGTGGCTGTCTTTGACATCCAGCGTTTCCTAATATTGACTCTCTTTTGTTCCAGAGCCAGATCACACTAATGGACATCCCTGTGTTTAAAGCCATTCAGCCGGAGGTCTGTATTTCGTCCTTTGTACTTTCCCACTAATGTGTGGCTGGGAAGGGAGGGTCTAGTTAGCCACTGTTGGAGTGACTCGTTTTCTCTCTTGGAGTATCTGTAGATGAAAGCTATCGATTTAAGGTCCTTTCCATTCTCTCTGGTGCCCACTCATTGAGCCAGGTGTTTGGGTCCTGCAGAGAAAGCCACCCATCTAGCCCATGCTGGCAGTGCAGAGCAGTTAGTACCTGCAGACCTGAAGTCTGGGAGTCCGCCTAGATGTACTCCTCAGCCCCAGGTCGCCCTGGCTGAAGATGGCCAGAGTGAAGAGGGCATGTGAGAGGTTGTTTTCTAGAGAGCTTTCTTTTTTGCTGATCCTACTTTCTGGTGGCTGCCTTGTTTCTGTTTTTGAAACCAGTTGCCACAGCAAAACACATACGTATTTATGTTAAAACCATATGTACATTTTTAGAAACAATAAAGGGAAAAGAGTTGATTTTGGTCTTTAAAAATTCCAGAAGATGTCTGGCAGCTGGTAATGAGGTTTTAGTTATTTTTATTTAGGGTTTCATTTTTTTTCTGTTAGCAAGTAACATAAATCCATTTCAAAGTAGTTGAATAGGCAGAAGAGAAATCTAGTCCAAGAATAGAGGGCATGTCACAGAATCATCCATGGGCATAGAGCTCAGGCAGCCCAGAAAAGACATGGGCAAGCCCTGCTTCTTGCTTTCTCTTCCCCTCCTTTCTCTTCTGTCCACTTTCCTGTCTGCCTATGTGATTCAACTTGACCTGCTCAAAGAACCCACATTTATACCATCCCCATTTAAGCTGATGTCGCAGACTGAGACTGCAGCTCTCTGTCTGGCCTAGTTTAGTCCTATGTCTAGTGCTGGTCCAGTAACCTGAAGTCAAGAGGACATAATCAAGATGAACAGACATGGCTGAGGCACCTGGCCTTGGGGGTGAGGTGCATATCTCAGAAATGTATGTGTGTGGGGGAGTGGGGGTATAGGCCAAAAAGTATTTTCTGCAACTGTGATGTGAATCCCAGAACATGCTTAGCTTTACAGTGGTGACTAGTGAGTTTGAGAATGACTGCATGTCCTGATACAAAGCCAGACAAAGTATCTGTGCCTCCTGAGAGCTGGCATCCTCCTACTACAGTTGAGGAAGAAACTGTATTCTCTCTACACTCAGTGTGCACATGGAGATGAGACAGTGGTTGTGTTGTATGTGCATTGTGTTCCTTGGGCTTGGGGAACTGAACTATGTGTGCTGTTTGGAATTGGCCAACTTCATCTTTTTCTGTTTTGGCCTAATGTCAGTACTACTTCGTAAAAATTTGCCACATGACTGTGATGCTGAGTGGAGATTCAGAGCTGATTCTGTGGAGGTGTCTGGAGAAATTCCACACTTGAACTTCTTGGGTGTATTACATGTTAGCTAGCTAAAAATGGAAGAACTTGCTCTTCTGTCAAAATCATGGTTAAAATAAGGAGTCTGGGAGCTTCCTCAGCTTTTCTGCTGTTTTTATTATTGTTAGCAGACTGAATCTGGAATTTTTCCTCTTGGGAATGCCTGCCATGTTGTGGCTGGACCACCCTAGAGTGGGATGGGTATGAATAAGGCACAGTTGTAAGTTTGATGTAGGTGAGACTTCCTAGGAAGCAGACATCAGCAGTTGAGAACACTGTGGGCACTGGGAGAAACCTGGGCTCTAAGGACATCAAGGAGACCTGTGGACTGGTGCCTTTAAACCTAGTTGAGCATCAGAATAAAAACAAACAAAAATCAGATGCCTGGGCTCCCTTGTTGGAGATTCTGACTATATAGGTTTAGAGTGGACCTGAGGATCTGCTTTTGAACAACTTGCATGTTGGTACACAAAGGTGAGAATCAGAGATGTAGATGACTATAAGCAATTCATCTTGTGAAATCCTAATTTCCTAAAGATTTGTCCTTGCCTGGTATTGACTGACATTACCTCAGTTCAGTCCCACATAAATAACAAGAATAATGTCGTCCACATCTGCGTACTCAGGACTTGGCCCAGGCTGTCTGAGCCCAGAGACTGACTCATGCAGCACACTTGGCTCCCACTTTTGTTGATGTGAGTACAACCATCATTCCAGTGCTTCCATGTCAAAGACATATGAACTCTTCCAAGAACTTGTCAAAGCCTCCCAAATGGGGTTTTGACGATGGCTGTGTTTAGATACGGTGGTGATGTTCATTTCTGGGTTTCCCTGGAAGGCAGGGCATTTTCCTGCTTGGCCATTTTGCCAGCTGTCTTCAGGTCTCTGCTTCCTCCATGCCCGTGGGGAGTTGTTGTCATGTTGTTGGCCAACTCTGCCTACTAATAAGGAGCTGGGGGTATATGACTTGAGAAAGGAGGGCTCTGGAGGTATTTGATTCCTTTTGTTGGAGATCTAAAAGGCTTTGAACCAGCTATGAGAGGTTACAGTGAGATCCAGACATTTTTGGGTGGTATTATATATGGTCCTAGAAGAATTTTCTAGGCGTTGGATTCCTGGACACAGAGGTATGTCATGGAGACTTGCATTGAAGGGGGAGCCTTCGGCCATGGGAGTCCTTGAGGCACCCAATGATGGAATGGTAGGCAGAGACCCTGCCTACTCAGACCCTTGCCTCCTTGTCCCTGATTGGTTTGCCAACCCTTCATACACATCTCAGTACCCAGTAGTGTGTTGCCTGAGCACAGGTTTGGAAATAGGCAGGTGCTTCTGTAGACACTGTGTTGTTGGGTGGCCTGGGCTGTGTGCAGGCTCTAGGCCAGGCACTTTGGATGCGGAGTCACATTTGATCCTTACAACAGGTTTATGATACACCTGCTGTTACTGTCCTCCTCTTAAATATGAGGGAATGAAAGAAGTTTTAAACCCTGCTCCATGGTGACCATGTTAGTTCTCTATTGCTGTGTAACAAGTTCCCCCAAACTGGGCAGTTTAAAACATCTTCTAGGATGCAAGAGGTGGCCTAGCAGGGTGGTACTGAGTCATAAACTCTCAGGAGGCTGCAGTCATGATAGCTGGGGCTGCCATCAGCTGAAGGCATGACTGGGGCTGGAGACTTGCTTCTGTAATGGCTCCCACATGATACCTGGTAAATTAGTCCTGGCTGTTGGCAGGTGGCCTCAGTTCCTGCCATGTAGAAACTTCAATAGTGCCAATCAAGTGTCCTCATAGCATAGGTGTGTCCTTGTGGTCTGGTAGCTGACTTTTCCTAAAATAAGTGATCTAAGAAAGCAAGTCAGAAGCCATGATGATGTTTCTGACTTGGCCTCAAAAGTCATGCCTGTCATTCCTACAGTATCCTACTAGCTTCACAGATCACCACTATTCAGTGAGGGAGGGGTCTACACGAGGGCTGAGCACCAGGGAGTGGAAACACCACAGGCACTCAGGTTAAAGATTTAAATCCAGGTAGACAGTATAATTCCAGAATTTTTGTAATTGGGACCTTTGGTAAACACTTCTCTGAGGTTCAGTTTCCTCATTCACAGAGTGGGGACGAGGAGTACCTCCCCTCTAGGTCATTTGGAGTATGAAGTGAGAAATGTACACAGAGTGTGAGGCACAGAGACTAGAACCCAGCAAGATGTAACCACAGCTGTTTTCAGACCAGGCATTGTGCTAAAAGTAGTCAAAGACTACATGTGCCACCTCAGTTAGCATGTGGTTTTAAGTCCATGTACAGATAGAGAAACTTAGGTATAGAGAGGTGGTTAAATCCTGGACTGACTTATCCCCTTGACTAAGTGATGGGAGTGAGATTTGAACCCTGGCAGCAGGAGTGAGTTTATAGTATTGCTGCTATTACTGTTGTTACTGCTGTGGTCATTGTTATCCACAGAATCTCTCTGTGTCAGCCATTGACTGATTCTAGGATAAAAGCCTTCTTACCTCCACCCCTACCTTGCCACTCACTGATATTTCTGCCTCTCAGTCAGTCCCCTTCCTCCTCTCTTTCTCCTCATTCTTAAAAAAGTTTTTTATTGTTAAAAATTTCAAATGCAAAAATGAAAAAAAAAATTCAAATGTATATGTGAGGGTTTAAAATAAACTCTCCTATACCTATTACCCAAATTGAACATTTACTAAGATTTTGCCATATTTACTTCATTTACCTCTTTTGTCTTTAGTTATTTCCTGGAATCTCTGAAAGCAAATGCATGCCATCCTTTTATTTCTGTCCTTCAAACTTCAGGTCCAGCTCTTAAAACACAGCTGTTACCTGGTATAGCCTCGATGGCATTATCATACCTAACAAAATTAGCAAGAACTCCTTAGGATCAAATTGGGGGAAATGCAGATTTTCCCATTTTTCCCAGTTGTTTCAAAAACAGAGAACACCAATAGTGGTAACAGTTACTGCTGGTAACAGTTACAGGACAGCACATTGGTTTGGCCATCAAATTCCCCTTTTTTCAAGCACTGGCCACCCTCCTTCTCCTCCATCATGCCCTCAGCTCGTTGAAGATCATATCTCTTGCACTGTGTAATATTCCATGTTCTGAATACCCCACTTCCTCCTGGTGACTTATTTACCATCCCTAATATTCTTTCAACTGCAAGTTAACCCAAAGGTTTGATTGGATTTTGGCTCCATCTTTTGGGGAAGTGTTTCATGGGTAACTTGTGCTACAGCTCACTTAGGAGACAGCTGCTGTTGTCTTCTTTATCCTGTGAAGATTGTTCAGGGGCTTCAGGGGATCACTGTCTTATTGCTTTATTGTAAAGTTCCCCAGCTGCCTTTTATCTGATGATTTCATCTGTGCCTGAATGGAGTATTTTATTTGGTGTAGCAAAATGGTGCTTTTTCTCATTCTGTGGTTCCTTCACATTTATAGTTGAAATTAAGATTTTTCTAACACCAAGTAGAGTTATTTGTTCATAAAAGACAAGATAAATACTGAATTTTTCTTTTACCATTAGCTTTAATGGTAATGTGTATGTTGTTTTATTTTGGAGGGAGCAGTCTCTCAATGCTAATGAACT